CCGAGGAGGGAGCCCGATGTGGGACTCGATCCCAGGACCCTGGGATCATGACCTGAGCCGAAGGCAGACGCTTAACGACTGAGCCACCCAGGTGCCCCTTCTTTCCCTTTTTCTTGACCCTCTTCTACCTGTTTGGTTTTGTGTTTCTTTCTTCTGAGGATTTTTATTATTATTTATTTATTTGTGAAAGAGAGCAAGAGAAAAAGAGAGAGCATGAGTGGAGTGAAGGACAGAGGGAGAAGCAGACTCCCCGCTGAGCAGGGGGCCAGATGGGCAGCTTGATCATGGGACTCTGTGATCATCACCTGAGCCAAAGACAGATGTTTAACCTACTGAGCCACCCAGGTGCCCCGGTTATGTATTTCTTTTATAAAGTTTATTTGACAATCAGTTATTAGGACTTAGCTACTTTGTCACAATACTAAGGTGAATTACACTGGTTCTAACGTATTAACTCCAATATAACTGTGTTACCTCACGTTCAGCCCTAGCACAGTGTTGCAACCAAAAGAAACAAGACTCTAAACTTCCAGGAAGGTTTAAAAAATTAAAATAAAATTCCAGGAAGGTTCGAAGATAAATTTAAATCTTTCCTGAAGTCCAAATAGCTAATGTTATAGGACCCAAAGCGAGGCATTCTAAAGATTCACTCTTTTATTTAAGCTTCCCAACCCTCCCTCATGACAGCTTTTCCCTCCCCGCCACCCCAGACCCTTCTCTCTCCCAAACGTACACTGAAAATTGCCTCTAGCCCATGCTAGATCTCCTGTTTGCTTCTCCTGATCTCTTTTCTCATTGTTCAAATCTTTTCTTTTCTTCTGGGGACTAACCCTTTCTGTTTCAACATGAATACATTTAATTCTTTGGATTCCTTCTAATTTTTCTGCTTCCCCAGCATATTCTGAATAGAACACAAACCCTTGGGATCTGACCAGCTAACCTAGAATACTCCTTAGATGTTAAGGTGGGGGAGAAAAACTGAGAATATTTATGTTAATATTTGTGAATCCATCACACATGTAAGTAATCATTTTTTTTAAGAATCTTTTTCAAGCCATTGGAAGGTGAAAGTTGAATAAACAGTGTCGTACCAAAGTTAATTTGTTAGTTTTGGTAGATGAGCCACGGTTATGGAAAATGTGAACATTAGAAGAAGCTTGTTGAAAGGCATACAAGAATCTCGGTATTATCTTAACAACTGTTCTATAAATCTAAAATAATGTCAAAATAAGAAGTTCAAATACGGTAACATTTTCCATAACCATGATTCATGTAAAAGATCCTTGATATACTACTGTACATTGTGAATGTCTAAGAAGGGAATATAACACATGCTGACCAGAAATATTTTGTCATGAAAATTTTTTTCCTCCAAGAATAGCATGGAACTAGAAATCCCCATAACAGAGTTCAGGAAATGCTGTGCTTGGATTAAGTTTATGACACCAATATCTGTATCTCCTCATTTGTAAACTCCAGACTCCTATATTCAGTTGTCCACTGGACACGACCATTTGGATGAACAGAGCCTAGCTTGCTGCCTGACGTGTGGCATAGTCTTTTTTAATCCAGATCCAGTCTCCACCCTGATCTTTATGGACTGTGTTAACTAAGCCCCTTGCCCTCTAGATTTGGGTTATTTTTGGTTTATGGGAGCAACATCCAGAGACACTACAGCAGGGAAAAAGTTATTTACCAACTCTCTCCCAGGCTCACTGAGGATATTACACACATCATTTTACAGAGTTTTGATGGTGTGTTCTCCCAATGAAGGGAAATCTCCTCTGATTGGCCATCTCTCTCTTAGAGTTACAAGGTTTTTGGTTTTGTAAACCACTCCATTCCCCTCCCTCTTCAGGCCTAGGACAGGTAAAAGCTCCCTGTTTTTGCTAGCCCTGGGATGCTTCACCATAAGTCTGCAAAAACCTTTATAAATATTACATTCATTAAACAGTCTTAATCACCCATTTTGATGTGCTAGGGACCTGGATACACTCAGCAAGCCCCAAACTGAGCTCATTATCGCTACCCAGACCTGTTCCTATTCTTAATGCCATTCATTTACTCAGGTCAGATAAGACTTGAGCAATCACGCTCAGCTCTAACACTTAATTGCTAGTCTAAGATAATGGAAACAGACTAAACCTGAATATGCGACACCTGGCTTCCAATTCCAATTACTGCTGACCCTTGAACAACACAGGTTTGAACGGCATGGGTCCATTTACATGTGGATTTTTTTTATAAATACAGTATAGTACTGTAAATATATTTTCTCTCATGACTTTCTTAATAATATTTTTCTTTTCTCTAGTTTAAGAATACAGTATATAATACATATAAAATATGCCTTATCAACTGTTTATGTGTCAATAAGGCTTCCAGTCAACAGTAGGTTATTGGTAATTAAGTTTTCACAGGGTCAAGTTACACACAGATTTTGCGACCACGAGACGGAGGGCCGGCAGTGTCCCTGACCTCCACATTGTTTGAAGGTCAGTTGTATATCACTGTTATAGCTGTATTCTCTTAGGCAACTTACTTGATTTTTCTGATCTTTTCTAAATTTTAAAATGATGTGAAATCATATTCACTGCTTGGAGTTGTTTTGAGGGTTAAGTAGGATTGTTTAAAAGAAAAGTAGCATAATACTTCCCCATGAGCAGTAGGCTCCTATAATTGTCTCGTCTCCAGACCCCCAATCCTCACCCCTCAGCCATCCATTCTTTCTATAGCTGACACAGTAATCTAAAATGCAAATCTGATCATACTCCTCCTTTGCTCAATTGCTTTAGCAGGCTCATGCAGTCCATGAGGGGTTATAAAATCTCTAGCTGTGTATGCGAACCTCTTCAGGATATGACCTGAGGCCTGTATTAAGAAATTATCTAGAGTTTCACACATACTGAATGGTATCATTAATGCAGTTACCTTACTATCTTCTGTAGAGACCAATTTAAAAAACTACCATAAAATTTAATGATTTATTATACATATTGCAGAAATTTCATGACTAAAAAATGATAATAATAGCAACTAATGGTTGAGTACATAACTGTGCTAGAAAATGTGCTAAGTTGGGGTGCCTGGGTGGCTCAGTTCGTTAAGCATCTGCCTTTGGCTCAGGTCATGATCTCAGCATCCTGGGATGGAGCCTCTGGTCAGGCTCCCTGCTCCGTGGGGAGTCTGCTTTTCCCTCTCCTTCTGCTGCTCCCTTCCCCCCTCTTGTGCTCTCTCTCAAATACATAAATAAATAAAATCTTTAATAAAAAAAGAAATTCTGCTAAGTCATTATATACATTATTTCATTCAGTTGTGTTAGCAACTTTCTAAATTAAGTAAGTAGTGAAAGTAATTTGGTTTATATATTTTATCGAAATTTATAACTAAAGGTCAATTCCATTAAAAATTGTTGAAAGATATAAGTTTATTTCACCACAAAACAAAGAAAAATATTATATTAGCCTAAAGTTCAATAAAATTTATTGTGTCATAGAGTTAATAGAATAAGAACCGGGGCCAAATTTCTGTTTTATTATTTTATGCTTTTTGCTTCTCAGGATATATCTCACTGAAGAGCTAAGGTGATAAAGTTCTTGGTTTAATAGAATTGTAAATAAAACATTACTAGCTCCTGTAGAACATTGTCCTCGGATTCATCCTATGGTAAGAAGTAATCTTATAATAAGTTTCTTATAATGCTCCTTTCTCCTCTACACAAATCCTACCAACTCACTCTTTATGGCCCAATGCAAGTCTTATGATTTCATTGCATGGCCTTGCCTCACTCATATCTCATCTTCCTCCTAACTTTTACAGCCTTTATGATCTGTACAACTCAATTTTGTACATCAGTAAATAATGCTTCATAGTATTATTCACTGCATAGGAGCATGCCTGGTTGCCCCTACAAGTAGACATCTCCATCCAGACCACAACCATACCGTACATACCTATGGTAGCTATTTAATCACTATGCAAAGCCATGCAGTCTTCTCTTTGCTCTTAAGGCAGTTTATTACCAACCCACCAGCCTGAAAACAATAAACTTGAAATCTCTGGGTGGGAGCAGAAAGGGACTTAAAAGACCATTCAAGTTCTGGTCCCACACTTTGCAGGTGAAGAAATGGAGACCCATCTGTCAAAGATTATACAACTGATTAATGTCAAAGCTGAGATTAGAAGCTGAGTCCTTGGTCTTCTCTCTAGAGGTCTTTTGCCCAACTGATTAGTGTCAAAGCTGAGATTAGAAGCTGAGTCCTTGGTCTTCCCTCTAGAGTTCTTTTGCCCACATATGGGTGATGGCATTTATGATATTATTTACAACTGCCATACTAAGTACCAGTTGTATATTTATTCAAGAAGATGATAGAGTATACAGTATTTACTCACCTTATATTTGGCTTTATTTGTGCAAATTGTATATGTTTATAATGGAATATTAAAAGTAATTTAAGGAGGGTCACCTGGGTGTCCTATTTGGTTAAGCGTCTGACTCTTGGTTTCGGCTCAGGTCATGATCTCAGGGTCCAGAGATCGAGCCCCCGTCGGGCTCCCAACTCAGTGGGGAGTCTGCTAGAGATTCTTTCTCCCTTCCCACCTCCCTCTGCCCCTCTCCCCACTTATGCTCGCTCTCTCTCTCAAATAAGTAAATAAAAATCTTCAAAAATAAGTAATTTAAGGAGAAGATATACACTTAGCAAGGGATCACTTAACGTCTTCTGTCCACATATTTGCCACAATAGAAAAGTTGTGGCAATTTTACACTAAATGTCCAGTAATTACATGTGGGTGGAAGTCTTCTATTCTTCAGAGAACAATGACAACAAAAAACATGATATTTGGGGGGGATGTCCATGTTGAGTAGGGGGAAAGAAAAAAATCTTTTCTCATTGTTGACTGAAAAATAATGGGATCATATCTGGTAACTGTGCTTATACTTAGATTTTATGAAGCAGCTGTTTTTGGTGATGGGGTGAGGATGGACAATGTTACCTGGAGCAATTTGTTTAATCACTGAGGATTCTGTTTGAGAGTAATGAGGGGCTAATCCTTCCTGAGAAATATAGTTCTGATAAACACTGGCTGATAAAGTGGCTCTCACACTAAAAGTAAGAATAACCTGTAATGTTAATATAACAGTTGCCATATCATTCAGAAGAAGAACTCGGTAGACCTGCTCCTTTAATGAAATAAGTGGTTAACTATAGTGACTCTTTGAACTTGCAGGCTTTTCAGCCCCAGTGGAGCTCCCAGTAGACATGGGAATTCTGTTACAAAATGTAATACCTTTTTGAAAGAATGTGAGAATTAATATTATATTTAAGCTAGCCCCTTTTAAATTATGTCCATAAATAAATGCAAATTGACAATGCCCAAAATGATTACATGAGGTGGTTGTTATATATCTGTTTAATGCAACTGTAGCCAAACATATTCTAAAAAATACAGTAGGAGTAAAGGAAACAAGTGATTGAATAATGCAATTAGTCTTCATACTCAAATATTTAAAGCCATAAAAACTTCATTATGATGTGCAAAGCATGTGATGTGGGGAGAAGAGTGAAACTGAAGGAAGGCAAGATACAGCTTCAAGGCATGAGACAAATAGCCCAAGATAAGAAGCACACCAAGGTTTCCAAGAAGCAGTTGTGTGCTATGAGAAACTCATTTTCTTTGTTTTAAGTGCTATGAATGCACAAAGGAAGCTTTTAAGGGCCTCAAAGATGTGAGAGCAGTTTCACTCATAACAAGGTCCATGATTTTTTAAAATCTACTGATAAAATCGTAAATTGTTTCCAGTGTCCTGGGAACACACTTAACAATCCAGTCTATACATAAGCTCTACTTTTTGAAAACAAAAAAATGCCAAATACGTTTAAGCTCCTACGTTTTGACCTGTTAAATCTGCATTCCTCAAATCAAAAAGCACACTTTAGTGCCACAAGTAGGTTCCTTTTTTTCATAATGCCATTTTCTTGCAACTTGGCCCTAAGGAAGTTCCAGACTAAAATAGTGCATCAAGGACTGTGTATAATCAGCCTCACTAAAAACAGCTTGATTAATACTAAATATGTCCTAGTTCCTAATCAATTATGTTAATGAAGTCGCAAGCAACACATCTGCACGCCCTGACAAAGCCCATGATCTCAGCACCTCCTGATAACGCGGACTGCTTGGGAAGCCGCTCGGGGCCAGTGTCCGCACTGTGAAAACTCCTTCTCTGGGAGTCAAAAGGAGGTCCTAGCAAAAGCCTTGTAATCCTGCAACATTGTTATGTTACTCACTTAAACATAGTATTGGGTTCCAGGGTGAAATGTCAAATTAAATCACTCTTTAAATATAACAATGGAAACCTAGGTGTCCCACTTTACAAATGACACATCCTTTTCCAAGTGACAGACTGAAGGCAAAACATTTGCTACTTGGTGTTTTATGAACCTCTAGTAGGAGATAAACTGAAGTCAAACACTTGAATAATCTATCAAAATCTGCCTCAAATTGGGGAATTGGAGTTACTTGATTTATGTCTATCTTGCAACAACAACAACAGAATTAGAATCCAATGAAACTTAAGGTGACACTATTATTTATAGTTTCTCCCTTGTCCTGTGAACATTGGGGCAGTGAGAGAATCACTTGTCAGTTCTGTGTCAAATTATCTCCAGTAACATAAGCTCGTATAGTCCAAATGCCAAATGGAATGTGAGTCTGATGTCTCCCTCTCTCTCTCTCAACTGGATTCTAAAAATTTTTACTTAATAATCTGCTTACTAGCTAGGTAAATGATATACAGTAGTTGCCAGGGATGAGATTACTCCTTTTGTTTTATTGTTTTCAGGATGAGTCAGTTATATTTGAGTCCAGTTAAGACATTTAAAAAAATATTGACTCCTATCAATAGCAAGCATATATAAAAGATGACGCAAGTTGGGAATTTATGCTGGTGTAAAACCACATATGATAAACACGCAAAATGCAAATCATTGAGGACTCAAATATTTAAACATCTCTAATTGTATGAGGTAAACATTTAAGCTGCTTTACTAATAACTAGGCTTAGAGGTTACCAAGTACTACAGACTGAATTGTGTCTCCTCCAAATCCATATGTTGGACCCCTAACCCCCATATGACTGTATTGGAAATCAGGCCTTTAGGAAGTAATTAAGCTTAAATGAGGTCGTAAGAGTGGAACCCTGATCTCATAGAACTGTGTCATTCTAAGAAGAGGAAGAGCCACCTGCGCTCTCTCTTCACCAGGTGAACATAGCAAGAAGCAGACATCCGCAAGCCAGGAAGTGGGCTCTTTCCAGAACCCAACCATCATGGCACTCTGACCTTGGACTGTGAGAAAATAAGTTTCTGTTATTTAAGTCACCCAATCTGTGGTGTTTTTTCCTGGCAGCCCTTGCAGACCAAGACATCAAGGGTTGATCAGGAATTTAAGAAATTATTATATCAAGAGGAAACTGTCTTCACATAATTACCACACAGAAATGGTATCTGGAGCCAAGTGAGTGAATGGGTGAAGCAGATGCATGGAAGTTGATGAAGACAATGGCAAGCTCCCCTTATTCAAGATGACCACACTTAAAATCAGTGAATAAAAAAATCCGTGTGGGCCAAATAAAATGTGTCTGTAGCAGTTTTGAATGGGAGGCAAAAGTTTCAAACCTTGGACTAGCACTGGACTGTTCTCTAAATATTCAAGAAGCATTATTGATTTGGAGTCTTGGAGCAAGATCTTACATGTACTTTACATTAAATTGTGATCTCTAATGACCAAATGAATTCCTTTTTTAGATTGATACTGATACAGCACTGACTTACAAATGTAATGGGATTTTTATTTAAAATTTGCAACTACTAATTCATTCCATTTGTGTAGCTGGCCAAATCAAAATATTTTACATACTATACAATAGGTTATTATAATTTGCAAGTATAATGTAACCTTTCCCCCCATACCCACTGGCATTTCTCTTGCTCTCTTGTAAGTCTTTCTAGAATGCTTAGGTACTTGGCTTGAAAACTATTGCTCCTTCCCAGACAAATAGTCAAAATTTCTCCATGAGTAGCATTTTATTTTATTTTATTTTATTTTATTTTATTTTTTAAAGATTTTATTTATTTGATAGAGAGAGACACAGCAAGAGAAGGAACACAAGCAGGGGGAGTGGGAGAGGGAGAAGCAGGCTTTCCGCTGAGCAAGGAGCCGGATGTGGGGCTCGATCCCAGGACCCTGGGATCATGACCTGAGCCGAAGGCAGATGCTTAACGAACGAGCCACCCAAGTGCCCCTCATGAGTGGCATTTTAGCCATTCTGAAGGACATCTGGCCAATTATAGATCATTCAGGTGACTCATACTAAATTAAAAGCATTTTTAGAAATATTTAGTTGCACTCCACCTCCTTCTAAATCACCTAGGGATTTGCTACTGAGATGTAGTCCTGGACCAACAGCATTAGCAATCCTTGGGAGCTTGGTAAAAATGCAGACTCTCAGGCCCCACCCTTGACCTACCGAATCCGAATCTGCATTTTCACAAGATTCCCAGGTGATTTGTGTGCACATTATATTTTGAGAAGCATTGCTAAGGTACTCTATACTGAGATCAGAGCATGATGTTTCTATTGCAGAACTTGATGAAATCTAAAGCAAAAACTTTATGTCTTCATCTTCCAAAACTTGTTGATGTCTCAGAAGGTAGGAAGGTAGGATGAAGGTAGGATCCTCAAATGCTGATGTCTGCATAGTAATATACTAGAAAGATGCTTGTGCATAGAACCAGAAATTCAGGGCTGAAATCCTAGATCTGATATTTACTAACTTAGCATGAATAAATAAACTCCAAGCCTACCTTTGTTAATCGTTAATAATGTCTACATTACAGGGTTTTGAAATGTCAAATGTAAAATGCATATAAGTACAGAAAACACAATATTCTAAATAAATATGAGTTGAAGAGAGCATAGCTACAGGTGTGCCTTGGTCAGGATCTGGCCAGAAAGTGCATAGAACATGCTGATGTCAGAACACGACTTACAGAAAACATCGCCTGACCAGCTACCCAAATTCTTCCCTGGCCATTGACTATGTGAAGCATAAATATATAGCCAAAAGGATCATTGGATCTGTGGTCATTGGATAATGCATCACTCACCAAGGCATTCGGATTTAATTAATTAATTAATTTAAATTATTAATTATTAAATAAATTATTTATATATTAAAATTAATTAATTAAAATGTATTTATTTATTTAAATTTAATTTACTTAATTTACTTTAATTTAGATAAAATGGAGAAAAGACTATTTGAAACAGGGTACCAAGTTCAGGTGTCTGGTATAAAACAATTGGGTTGGATCTGTAAGTTTTTTTTACACATGGACATAAACCAAAGGTTCTCAGAATTTACTGTAAACAAGACTCAACTGAAAACCTTGTTAAAATAGAGATTTTTTTTTTCCTTTCTGAATTGCCAGAGAATCTGATTCACAAGATCTAAGATATGGCGGGAATATGAATTTTTAACAAGCTTCACGGTTGATTTTGATGCTGGTGATCTGCAAGTTATTGTTTGTGAAAAGTTGTGTTAAATTAATAAAATGCAATAGAAGGAGAACTTCTTAAGTTCATCAATATCAAACACAATAATAAAAACTGCAGTCATTATAGTTTTATTCTGTCTTTACAATACCTCTCTGTGATAGGTAATATGAGTATCAGTATTTTACCAATAAAGAGGCTGAAACTGTAGTTATCACATTTAAGTTCATCCAGGTAGAAAACGGCAGAACCAGAATTTGGATCCAGGTATGTGTGATTCCAGAGCACAGGCTATAAATCACTATACTGTTTTTAAAGACACAGGGTTCCTACCATCTCTCTAAGTAACAAGAAATGATCAATAATGCCTGGGTCCCCTTTGAAGGAGGGGTTTGGAGGATACATGAAATAAACTGAACTTTTCAGACATTTCCTCCTCATTATTGGAGATTCATTTGGGAATGGATTTTGGGGGATAGAAGATACATAAAGTATCTTCTTTATGTAGGCGAGGACAGGTTACATGAGTATATAATTCCAGATAAAAACCATATAATATTTTCTTGAGTTCCATATGCCAATTTAGAATGGCCTGTGGTTTCCTGTCTTGGTGAATGGCACCTCTGTCTACCTGGATATCTAATTCAGAAAGCTGGAGTCATTTTTCTCACTTGTTGTATCTCAGCATCTATATTAATCAGATACTTTGACCAACTGATTCCCTTCCCATATACTTTTCTGATCTGCTTTTTTCCATCCATTACACCAATGTTTAGTTCCTGCTTTGCAACTTTTTGGACTATTTTCTCTTCTCAAGTGTCTGTAACCAATCTCTGTCTAGTCCAGCAGGATGGCAGTTAAATTGATCTTTTAAAATGAACATGTCTATCCCATCCATGGGGAATTCCTTGTCTTCTATAGAAAAAATAAAATAAAATCTCTTAGCTGAGGAGGAAATACTTGTGCTTGTATATGCACAGAATCTCTCTGGAAGGAAAAAACATTGGTTTCCTGTAAGGAGAATGGGGTGCGCAGGGTCAGGATGGAGATTGTCTACCCTATATCATTTTTGTAACTTTCAAATTTTGAAGCATGTAAATGTGTCAAAAATTTTAAAAGGGAATACAAATTCCTTAGCTGGGTGAAATAGCATGGTATCAGAGATTTGCAAAGGAAATAAATCACAATGAGAAAAAAAGGAGGAAAGAAAGGAAAGAAGAGAAAGGTTGGATAGGCAAGAATAGAAAATGTTGATAAATGTATCTGCAGGCTGAGTGTATTGCAGGTTTACTTTACTATTCAGTGTTCTATAATAAAAATTTAAGGATACAAATAAATCCCAAGCTTAGCCTACAAGGCACATCACAATCTGTCCTTTGCATGCCTTTCTATGAGCTGTCCCAGACCCTCTCCATGCCTTCTCTTTTCTCTCCACGCTGCACTACTTATGCTTCTCTGGACCAAATCCCTTTCTTTCTCATCTCCATGCCTTTGCATATGCCAATTCTTTATTGGTAATGTTCTTGCCTTCCTTGCTCATTCTTCCTATTCTTGGGACTTTATCTCCACAGCCACCTCTGCAGAGAAGCCTTTCCTGGGGTCCTCTTCACCTCTTCCAAGAAGAGCTATGCCCTCCTTTCTCTAAGCTTCCACAGTACTCAGCACTGACTTATTTTTTTGGTTCTTATCACATTGTGTAATCAGCATACCTCTTAGAAGCCAGCAACCAGGGCACCTCGTGCAGGCTGTGTGCTTTATAGGGTTCTATGGGCCCTCCTCTGACTACATCTTGCCCTAGGTCTGTGGGGACAACAGGGTGTGGCCACCTGGGTTTTTTTCTCTTACACTCCAGATCCTAGGACCCTGAAATTTTTTCCCCCTGACAGTTCTTTCTCTGCTGCCAGTGACTGCTTGGGCCTCTTGCTGAATGAATCTTCTAGTCTCAGGGGGTGACCAAATTCAACAGGGTAGCTGTTTGTTAGATGAGGTTAGAACTTGGACAAGCAGGCTGGTGTCCCTTTCAGTGTTAGACAGAGCTGGGAGTGCAAGGGGTGCTGTGAGGGTCTGAAGGAGACCCCTATCTGTACTCTTGCAAAAAACTAATGGTGTACTTGGCTTTGATCACTTGTGTTTTATATCTGGCTCCTCTTCAATTACTTTTAATTTTATATCTGTAAACTGAGTCTTGGTAAGACAAGAACTATTTTCTATTACTCTCTGAATCCCCAGTACTTTGGGCAATACCTGATGTGATCCCATAGTTGGGATTTAATAAATCATAGTTGAATGAATAAGTGAAGACAAATGATTTTGAATTTCTAGCAAAATTCATTATGATGACATTTCCCTCTTCTAATTGTGCCAATACTGAAACATTGTATTTTGAAGAACTAATTATTAGGGGTAGTATTAGCTACTAATTTTATAAAGCACTTGTAAACTGGTACATACACACACACACACACACACACACACACCATTTTATCCTCACACTAACTCTATGAGATGCATACTATTCCTGACCCATCTTATAGGTAACAAAAGTCATGAAGAGTGAATTTAAGTAACTTCCAAAAATTTACTCAAATGGTAAGAGATGAAACTGAGATTCAAACCCAGAAATTCTAGCACCAGAGTCTTAAGACAGTAAATTGGTCAATTTGTGGTAAAACTTTAAGAATTGCAAGGCACATCCATGTCCATTTGTCCCTGTAATTTCTGCCTTAATTTCCAGGGTATGAAGCTGGTCATCCATCTCGAAGCTGATAGTTACCAATATAAAATCTTAAGAGGAAATTTTTGGTTTTCCAAAAAGCAGCAAGTTGTAATTTCAGGACAAGTAACCTACAACTTAGACATACTAAAACTACTTGAGAAAATATGGATTTTGCTGTTTCTGCTGTTACTATTTTGTTTTATTTCTCTACATTCTATTTTATCTACAATAGAGAAGACCTTAGGAAAAATAAAATACTTGCCTTCTAGAGGAGGTGATGCCGGAGTGGGTCTGGAAGCTTGTTCTGTTGGTAATGGAGATGGTAAGGCTGGGCTTTGTCCTGTGCACACAATGTAGGAGTAGGCATTGAAAAAGAAAAGTATTAACAAATTTAATATCCATGACTAAAATAGCTAGATCTGTCCCCAACATGCATAATTCATAATCCAAAGTATAAATTCATATTATTATGCAATAAGAAAAGTGTTATTAGGTGAGATCTCTAAGTGGATA